TTTTATATAATATCATTTTATAATAATTATATATATAAATATTTCATATATTTCTATATATAATATTAATATATTTTTTTAAAATAAAAATTATTATTTTATAAAATAATATAACTATATTTTTAAATATAATTTAAAAATAAATATAAAATATTAAAACCCATAAATTCCTAATTAAAAAGAACAAATAATAAACCAATTATATATATTAAATTATTTAAACTTATTAAAAACAATCTTTAGAATAAATAAAATATTACATACAACATAATTAATTATTATTAAAACAAAAATATAAATAATACTTAATTATACATATATATATAAATATCATCCAAATATTATTCCAAATAAACATAAATATAAATACTCTTAATATTACCAATATTATCAATTATCAATTTCTCGCAAAATATATATATATATATAATCACTATATTTTATATATAGAAAATATTTGAGATTAATTCCTATTCTAAAACTAATTTAATCGTATAGGATTTAGCAATTTTCAATATACATGAAAATTAAATTAAATCAATATAATAATAAGATATTTTCAATATAATTTATCGTCAGCCTTTGAAATTTAGCGATATTCTTCCCGTCAGGCCCTATCACCCGCGACGCCGGAAATTCTTCCGGTGATGCAGCAATAATTAATAGGGCCAGTGGGGCCACCACCAGGCCGCTATACATATCTAAAGTTCGCATTCTATCTAAACCTACGAGTAACATGTTCACCAGCGAGCACGGCAATGTATCAACCCAAATCCGACAAAATTATTCAAGCATCTTCAATCCGAAACCCACCGGATTAAATCAATCATCAACTTTCAGCATAGCTCTTCCCCTCAGGCCATATCATCTGCCGCGCTTCATCCATCAAAAGCTTCATGCAAATCGGACAAACATGTTCAAACATCTTTACAGCGAAGCCCACCGGACGAAATCTGTGACACTGTCGTTGAAGTTCAGCATGGCTCTTCCCCTCAGGCCTTCAATGCGAAGCCCACCGGACCAGATCAGCCGTTAAGGTTCAGCATGGCCCTTCCCCTCAGGCCATATCTCCCATGCCGCTTCATCCATCAGAGGCTTCAGCCAAATCGCATTGTCAATGCGAAGCTCACCGGATCAGATCAGCCCTTGAGGTTCGGCATGGCTCTTCCCCTCAGGCCTTCAATGTGAAGCCTGCCGGGCCAGATCAGCCGTTGAGGTTCAGCATGGCTCTTCCTCTCAGGCCATATCACCCGCAGCGCTTCATCCATCAGAAGCTTCACGCAAATCGGACAAAAATGTTCAAGCATTTTCACTGCGAAGCCCACCGGGCCAGATGACCAGACGTTGAGGTTCAGTATGGCTCTTCCCCTCATCACCGGTCCATCCCGGCCGCTGACATTCACCATGGTTCATCTCATACCAAAACCCTTCTTGCCCAGCCCCTGCTTCAGCAAAAGCTGGACTGAAATCCTACAGAATCGTCTAGCATCTTCAATGCGACGCCCACCGGACCATGTCCGCAGCTGAAGTTCAGCATTGTCCATCTCCTACCAAAGACCCTTCTTGCCCAGCCCCACGGCTTGCCCGTCGGGGGTGGACCAAGGGGGAACCGAAGCCCTACCGTCACTAAATTGCCACCTGGTACATGGCCTGGAAAAGGTCCTTCTGCGGTCGGCGGTTTTCCCACTTAATCAAATTGAAAAGCCCCCCAGACCCCCTAGTACTCACTACGTTCGCAAACAACAACTCAGCCTTGCCTGTCGGCTGGCTTTCGTAATTTAGGGTTGATTTTAAATCTCATTCCTTCCTTGTTTCCTTTTCCTTTCCTCCCTCCTTCCCTTCCTTCCTCCCTCCCTTCCTTCCCTTCTTCCTTCAATCCTTCCTTTGTTCGTTTCCCAAAAAAACAGGGAAATAATCATCAAAAACGGTGACGGAATTACTCAAGCAAAAACATAGTAATTTTTATTCTACCATTGACATATTAACACATAACAAACATATACAAACATGATGATCAACACATATATTTAAATAATATCCACATATATTCAATTCCCACCCGAAAAATATTGATTTTCAGGACCATATTACTCGTAAGGTCCTAGCCACCTCATCGATATAGATCTGCAATCACATATTCGGGGCCATCGAATTTGGACGACCAAATCGTGCTACAGTTGCTGTCTATGAAATATGCTGGATATATGCGGAAATATGTGGCTAGAGTATTGCTAGAGTTGTTCAATAGATTCTTCAATAAGGTTCATTTCTGGAAGTTTCTTCTTCTTGTTGGTTCGAAATGATCCATCTTGATACTTGCTTTAGACTTGTCTGTATGGATGATGTCCGGAGACACCTTGGGGGAAAGTCTGAAGCGCTGGAACAAAGAGGATGGATCCTAACGTCCTGTCGGACGAACTGCACAAACGCAGCGGCAAATGACTGCATTTCTGGCTTAAAGCCCTAAAAATTCACATGCGAATGCACGTGGGAATTGCAACGATAAAGGCAACTCAACGCTTTGCAAAAGCACATCAAAAGCACTATGTCTTCCTTCACAACGCGATGTGGATGGCAATCTTCAAACTTGCAATGACATCGCCAAGCGAGTTGCGACTTCAAAGGCCCACATCTCGCAAACGTTTAGAGCAGCGAGGTAAGGACATTGAAACTGGTATGCCAAACTTATCAGCTCTGTGGCATTTGCCAACCTCTGGAGGCCACAACCAGTCAATCCAACAAGATAACACTAATTTAAAGATATTTAAAGGACTTGAAGCGACCTCGAAAAGAGTGGCACAGAGAAAAGATCAAATCTATCGCATTGACTCATTCCTCGGCTTTCATGCGAGCTTCAGGATCCTCAGTGCACCATGTGTGGAGTGTCTCAACGAAATCTCAAACACCCTGTGCTTCCAACTTCTCAAGAAAATGCAAAGCCAAAGCGAAGCTGTCTCAGCTCAAGTATGTTCATGTATGTTCAAGTACTATATGTTCAACTGTGTTCAAATATGTTCAACTCATCTTTCACCAGGTTTCCTTCATACTCCGAATCTCCTCAGCACCACCAGGCGTTCCTCCAATTCGCACAAGACCGGGTCGTGCTTCAGATCCTGGCAGCAACTCATCTGATCTCATCTGGCAATGCCCAAATCCACTGCTTATTAAGTGGTTCATCATGTCCACATTTTGTCATCATCTGATCATCATATTCCCCAAAAAATGAAGGAATGCTCATTCTCAGACAAACCCGTCAACGAACCACGTGCGCCTTCAAACGACAACCAACAGCACAAGCACTCTAAAGAGTATTTTTCCATACAGCTGTATATAGAACTATATCTTTATAGATCATGAGGAAGCATCTTACCATCATGTATCATAATGTAGCTTCTCAATAAAAGGCAGTACATACATGTAAATACCAGGTATTTCATCTGGACTTCTGGGTGCCTTGTTGCTGCAATCGCGCTCGGCTTTCATGTCGCGCTTCAAAGATTCCAGGTCCTGTTGCCGAAAGGGCACCCACCAGGTAAATCTCAATGCACTGATGTCCATGTCCTGACTCAAATCATCTTGAATCTACAAATTTGGAAACAGGTCTTCGTCTTGAAGGCAGAAAACCATCCAATAGTAGTGCCAATAGTCGTGTTTTCATATGGGACTGCAACTTTTTACAAACGGACACATCTGCAAAGCGCGTTACAATCCTGGTAAAAAAACCAAACAACAACTCTGGCGCTGCACTTTTTCAGGAACCGCTGTCTTATGGGGTGAAATCTTCAGCGCATCGTTGCACCGGTATAAGAAAGCGTATACCTACTGCTATGAGGCCTTTGTCATGTCCTTCACTGCTTCTCATGACTCTGAACTATTACATGGTTCTAATATATTCTATACTCCATAGTTCTATTCGTCAAATCAAACACCTGGTGCCTTTGCAGTGTTCATCATTTATCTCAGCAAGGTCTAATCGAATCCATCTGAACTCCACAGGGTCGGCCTCCTCCAATTTGACGAGCTCATGGAGATCCTCTTCCATTTCCTCCACAGCTTGGAGTAACTGGGCACAACTGCAACTGCTGTATCAACTGTGATGGCCATGCCTTGCTGATGTGCTTGGCCCGCTTCCTGGGTGTCAAGGGGGGAAATGAACCATGCTCAGCACTGAAACCACATGCGTTTGTTATGAGCCTTCATCTTTCAAAAATAGAGGTGGAAAAGTAATGCATATTATATATACACATGACATGTATAAAACCCCAACTTCAACCTACATCAAGCAGCATTTTTTGAGTTGTCCGCAGTACTCCGTTCACCTCCGTTCACCTCCGTTCACCTCCGTTCACCTCCGTTCACCTTGAAGCACCGCTTTCTCGTGGGAAGGCGCTTGTCGTGGATTTCTTTCTCACGAAGTTCTTGCAGCCGAATCAGCCATCCCATGACCTGCTCGTCCTGGTGATCATCTTGGGATCACAGCCCCCACAGCTTACCCGGTAAACAACGGCAAACATAGAAAAACATATGGGACACCCATGGTTTCCCCAGGAAAATGATCTACAAATGGTGGTTTTTCCACATCATCACATCTATGTTCGTTTACAGAAGGGTAATCCATCGTTCATAAAGGAAAATCTTGGCTAATGTGTGCGTGGTAGCATTAAAATCTTGATGATATTTGTCCAAAATCATTTGGGGTGACCAGCAACTGCGAGCCCAGGTATTTCAACGAATACTGACGTTGGCATATGCTGGGGTTGCTCAGAACTATATCATATAAATTGTTAAGTGTCATGAGATTCTCACGAGAGCCCTGGCAATAAACACCTTGTTGGACTGGTTATGCAAACACCTCCCAATCTCCCCACTTATCGAGATATGCCAGCTTGATGTAGCTTTTGGATGCGGTGCTTCTTTCTTTTCGATAGTTTTGGTTGATACAAAACATGTTGGGCTTCAATCTTTATTTTCATATGTCCATCTGTAAAAGCATTACATCATTACAATTCATTACACATATCATATATTTCTCTCCAATGTTCACCTGCCGCTTTCGCTTCGCTCGCCTTATCCTGCTCTTTCTCTGTATAGCCCTCGGTTCGCAGATAGGCCTTGCGCTCGGCCAGCCTCACCAGGAGCCTGGGCATCCAATTCATCCGTTAAAGGAAGAATCTATGGTCCCATTGGACTTAAATTTTGACCCATCCCCATTTCATGTTCTCATCTAGGTCCGTCTCTGGATAGAAGTTGGATATCCCTCTGATGCATCACTTTCACAGTTCATCTTCGATTCTTTTTTATTAGTCTTTTCGTTGACAAATGCTATGAAATCATTTCCTCTCCAGTTGCAATTCAAGCGAAACTGAATCTCATCACAGCACTCAGGCACTCAGTGCATCCAAGAGACTCCTCCTCAGCTGTCAACACACACCCAACAGTGGATTGGAAATCCGATCAAACAACTTGAAATCCTTGGTCAACCTCAGGATGTTTCAAAAAACCGGGCTGTTTGATTGACTCATTTTGACAGGATATCCCCCAAAACTTCGAAGTTTTCTTGAAACAACCAACCCACCATATCCATACAGTATAACTACAGTATCTATTAAATTCGTTAAACCATAGTTCGAACCTTGTGGGACCATATTAAACCTATGAATCTATGACGCTTTTCTCCAAGTCTCCACTTCTTTCGCTTCGGAGGGGCTCAATCCCGAAGCTTCGCGGTGTCGGGCCAAGCGCCGTGCCAACTGCCGTTCTCTCTCCTGAGGATGTCAGTGGGATGATACTTCTGGATCCTAGACCTTTGACCAAAATGGATATATTATATATATACGTATATATATATATACAAACTAAATTTTCATGATATGAATATTATTATTATATATATATATATACATATTGATATACTTAATTCATATTAATTCTATAGAGGTACCATGCGCATCTATTTGTACCACACTTGTAGTGGCTACAATCTGGATATTGTCCCAGGGATCGCCTGCAGTTTTCTGTAGGATGATCATCCAACAGATTGCAAGCAAGATGCGGCCAGCTGTGCAACAACCTAGGATACCAAACAACCCCTTCTTGCGCGTACATCGTCAAAAGCACTGCACAAACTCAGTCCGCCACAAATGAGATACTTGGAGGCGTTGGAACATCCTGCAACTCACTTTTGACGCCACTCCAGGTCTGAAGTGCGTCGTGCAGCGAACACGAACCCAATCACCAGAATTCCAATTCGTCTTCGCCCTCAGCAGCCTGTTTGATACCATGCTGGGCCTTTCCTATAGATTGCCTCCTAAAATGAAAACCGAAAAACCAGTGATTTGGCACGTGAAAGGCATGCACAGCTCGGCAAGGCACCTTCTTGCCGTCAGCTTGCGTCCACTCCACCGAAGGACCGTTCTGGCGGTGACACGATGACCATTGATCATAGCTTACCCTCAACTCCCATGGTTTATCAGCATTTCCCCACATCATCGCCATAAATTGGGGATAGTTGGGGTATATCATCAAATTAAATATGATCCATCATTTTCAGGATTTTTCAGGTACCATGGCTTGGATGAGGAGTCCACGCCTCCATGAAGCGCTGGGGCAGCAAGAGAAACTCTGCCAAGTAGTCAAGGCGCTCTTCGATCTTCGCAAGCTCTTGATCCGCCTGGGCAAAGATGTCATCTCTGGGTGTCCCAACATGAGATTTTAAGCAACCGAGTAGGGGCAGAAAACTCGAACCAGTGTATACCAGTTTATTGGGCAAATGGAACATCGATTGATGGAATTCGAGGTAACAAAGACTATGATGTGGGCTTGTCCAAAATTCAGTGGAATACCGGAATACCCTAAAAAAAGGGGCCATCAAATACTGGGAAACCTGATTTTTCAAGTTGAAACCACCGGATTTGCTTTTGTTCCCTCAACACTTTCCAGGCCAACCCCACTTTTAAACCGACGCTCCTTGAGGCTTTTGTTGGTGTAGCCTGAGTTTTTTTTCAGTGTCTCCTTCAGGAGTGCAGGAACACAATGGAACACAGATATTCACTTGGCAAGGACCGCCGCAATCAAAATGGCTCAGAGTTTTTCAATTCAAACCAACATCTTTGCCCATGATTCTTTTCAATGAATTTCAATCATATCCTTTTTTGTGTGCCGTGAAAATCTTGAAACTTGACGCCCATCCCGCAGGATTCATCGCCAAATCTACTGGCTTCAGGTCCTTGTAGTCGACCACCTCCTGTGCAATCACCTCCAGTTCTTCAGCATCCTGGAGAAATTGCGCGCTCTCGAGTTCAAGAACTGCAAGAAACGTCCCAACAGTTCCCTGGAGAAATGATGTTTTTCATCGTTTTTCTATAGGTTAACGTTTCTTTTTTTTAAAACCATTTTTTTACATAGAATTACCATGTTTACCCCAATTCATAGCCATAAATCATCAAAAATTGGCCAGATCTATGGCTCTGCAGCCGTCCTCTCTGCTGACTGCAGGCTGAGTACTGGTGGTCTTGTGGCTGACTTCACATGACACCTGGACCGAGACCAATCGAGGTGTCAACAGCTTCGCCACTGCGCCAATATGTTGAAATGAGAAGTCAACTGCTTCCAAACATTGGGATCTTACCATCAGATTTATGAATTGCAATTTTGATATTTTGGGGGCAATCCGTAGAGCCCAATTTCAGACACACCCAACTGCAGGCTCATGTTTTTCAGGAGCAATCATGTGAAGCAACTTCACCTCCTTTTTCCACTTTGCTTCGATGTATTTTTTAGTGACTTTTGGTGATTTTTGGATGGCTTGCCATGGCTGGTCATGGTTTGCCATGGCTTGCCAACCAAAGATGGGTAACATTTTGACAACCTACGACGGTTACGACATCCAAGCCATCCCTGCCTTCTTTTCCAAGATGGCAAGGCGATCCTGCCAGTTCTTCCTCATGGAGCCAGTGGGACGACTTTCAGACAGCGGGATGCAAGCGTGGTTCTGTTTGTAAAAACTGGAAGCCACAGTGGAATCCCGATACAGCCTGAAACATCCCGAAACACTTTCGCCATCACTCTCCCGAGCCAATTTTGGATCTGACTCAAATTGTAAATGTCCCTTCTCATTGCCTCAGTATCATTTAGTCCCTACACAAAGTCAAAGTGCACGTCCTAGTCCAAACTGTTGATTGATGTATGGCAAAATCTGGATGTGTCTTCAAAATGGGCAATTTAGACAATTATATATATATACACCACATAAACTACATTTGCATGGGGAAAGCATGATCAATTACATGTATGGTTCCAAATTTGAAGATATGTTCTAAACCTGGGGATTTTAACGGGTATGCCGTGCTGATGAGGAGCCGCTTCTCGTGGTCACCCTGTGGAGGCTCCGGCTTCTGGACGGGTTCCATTTGCATCAGTGCCTGGCAGGTGTTGAACATTTTCGTACGTCAATTCTTGATGAGTTTCAGATTGAAACCACCTGAGTTGAATTCCTGATACTTCTTGTCTATTTTAAGGTCTAAGTTTTAATCTATTTTAATCTACTTATACCATCTGATACCTGTAAATACTGTGCTGTCTACTTATGTCATCATGAGGCATGGCAACTGTCGCCTCCTCTGTTTCTTGGGCGATTCGAGCCGCTTCGTCTGCTGACATCTTTGTGGTGGCCTCAGCAACGGGATGCTATGCTGCCACGGAAACATCCCGATATCCCAAGAGCCTTACGACTCTCCACAACTCTCCATAACTTGCATAGCCAAGTTTCAGCCTGGATCTCGTTTGTGAAATTACCATGAACTGGCATGAGTCCCTTCCTTGGACGTGTCGGATTCGGATGGCATCAGATTTCGTGGAGGATTTCTACCAACCTGTTCGCATCGCCCAAACCAGCCTAAGACAAACAACTGCAAAAATCTTGGCCCTGCTGACTTTCTTTTGATTTGAGACATCCCCTGAACATATTCCCATGAAATCCCTATGAAATTGCATGAAATCCCCATGGAACCTCCATATTTTCTATTTTGAATGCCAAGATTCACCACTCTGCAGGCATCGATGTATCGATCTTCGCCCTTCAGTGCTGAGACCTTCTTGCCAAGGGCTGTGCGTTCCTGGAGGGCTCCACTGGTCAAGGTGGTCAGTGCCTTTGAAAATGGTTTGTATACCCCCAATCTGTGGCTGTTTCAACAGGGATACTATGGGATAATGATGGATAATGATGATGAAAGTTGCACAAGTGATTCCCCAATTGATGTAGACTCCTCATCTCTGGTGCTTACATGTGGCTAGATTCCAAGTTCGAAACGACCTGTGGTACCATTTGGCCTTTGATCTTTGCCAACTTGGTCCTCCCGATATCTCTCAGCCCACGCCTTGTGGTGCTCCTTACCGGGGAGCTCCCCGACTTGGGTCTCCAGCCTTCGAGAAACGGCCCAAAATCGACGGAATTGGCATTTGATATTTGCAAAATCACAAGACATCACATTTGGCTTGCTTTGCTGTGCTTGTTCAATGTTGTTCAATGCCATTGTTTTGGCACTGCACCGAGAAAGTGGTGCTTCCATGTTGTCGGTCAACTCCACCAGCCTCTGGATCTGGCCGTCGATCTTCGATTTGTAGCTTTCAGCACCTGAAAGGTTTGAAAACTGCAACTGATTCAGTTGCTGATGATTCAGTTGTCATTGTTATTGGTATTGCTGATGATGATGATGATGATGATGATGATGATGACGATTCAGTGTTTTGGGGCTTTTAGTGCAAGGAACTCTCGCCCAAACTGGCGGCTTTCTTCACGAAGTTGCCCACAGCATTCGCAAGTCTTGGCCCGCAACAGCTTGATGGAAGGACAGTGAACATCAGGTGTCAGGGCAACGGTGATCCGTGCTGTGAACGGCAGAGCAATGCCAGCAAAATAGAATATATTAATTCCATTATCATTATTCCATTCTCATTTCTTTTTACCTCCTGTCTCATTTCCAGAAGGATTGTTTATAACATTGAACCATTGGCGCCTAAAAAATCTTTCTCATATTCCAAACCAAGGGTCGAAGCCATCTTCGCCACGGGTCAGCAGGGCAGGGACTTGAGGTTCAGAGCTGTGGAATCAGCCGCTGAGCAGGATTCATACACAAAATATGTTCATGATTCAGTCATATTAAGTCTATGTATATTAGTGCATATATATATAATTATATATATATTTATATGTAACGAGATGTAAAAATATTTGTATGATTTTGTATGATGTTGTATGTATACATCATCAAATCATACTAGTTCATATTATATACAGTAAGACTTCTATACTATATACACTATGAGTCAAGCGATATGATCAGGAAAAAAGTGGCTGAAGCGCTCATTCGCCAGGAACTGTTGGTGCCAGTCTCGTGTACCGGCAGCTAAAGGCTGCCAGAGCCAGAGCTGTACATGGGCCTTTGGGGCCTGACCTGACTGCTGTACAGGTCATGCGAACTATTGTGAGGCTGCTTTCAGGCTTCTGACATGTAACATCATGTAACATGGTCGAACACAGAAATATTATGAAATATTCTTCTCCTTCCAAGCTTTAGAGTTGAAACACGTTGAAACTATGAAATTATATCAGCTTGAAAGCAGCTCCAGTGTCCACGAAACAATCCAAACAGTTCCATTGATCTTGGGTCTTATCATTCTCATCCCATCACAAACTGAACGAAGTCCCAACAATGGAGTCATTGGTTTCTGCTTTGAACACATTGGTCTCAACGCGTTGCCGCGGGTTTCGCTTTGCTCCCATGGGACTCAGTCGGCTGCAATGTGATCGTCTTCGTACACATCCATGGTGGGATTCACCTTAACATTGCAGTGCCACTGCGCACAGCCCTCTTGCTGAAAGGAACGCTTGTGGAAAGCACGGACTGGGGAGGTTTGATGATATTTTTTTGCCTTTTTTTGCTATCCCTATGAAAATGGGAAGCTTTCCAGAACAAAGTGGTTTCTGCCAGAATTTGGCCATGACAAGCCACTGAAAGACCATCTCTACCCATCCCGTGTCTGGGCGTCGCGCCAAACGTGTCAGCGTTTGATTTTTCTCCACCAAGTCAGGGCAGTCGTGCAACAGCTTTCCTAATGCCAGGCCTGGCACAAAGTGATCTGATCATCAAATGTGAGACAAGATGATATAAGGATATACACATATATATATATTTATAATTATAATTATATATATATATATATATCAGACGAGGATGGCTGTCATCCTGACAAGCTTGCAGTGTGCCATCACTTTTGTAGCGACTACTGCACCAAACCATACAAAAAACTGCAAAATCACCATCATTTTAACCAGTAAAAGCGCTTCAAGTGAATGTGGGTTTCACAGTATCTGGTAGATCTGCTGCCACGGGGCTGTGCTGGTGGACAGCTTCTTCGGTGGCTTCATAGCCAAACTTCGCCAACAACGGGATCTCAACCGCCATGCAAACGTCGCGGCGCGCATGCGCCTCCCAGTCTACAAAGCACAGCCATGAACCCCCACTGTAGATACTCTTGAGGCAAGAAAGAGGTCCAACCCAGGACCAGCAAATTTGCAGGCCACACTTTCACCACTGCCAATGCTTTTAACATCTTTAAACATCTTTCAACAAGTCTTTGGGACACCGTCAGGGAGTCAGGGACAGCGACAGCGCTAGAAATCCAAGCGGCTTGCTTCACCATGTCACCCTCGGAGCCGTCCAGCGCATCTCGAAGTTTGTAGCGGAACTCTGGACGCAGAAACTCCTGAATCATCGCCTCCTGTGGGCCGATGGATCCGATGGGTTGCACAGGGCGTGGGCTAATGGACTCAACTTCGAGTTGGAATTCTACGATGTGTATTGATTCTGCTCCTTGTCATAGTCTCGTTGAAGAACCCCCAATTTCGAATCTTCATTGCTATTGCACTTTTGTGGTATCAACTATAAGGTCAAGAGCAGCCTTTTGGTTCTCGCGGCCGCGCTGATCGTGAGACGAAAGTGTGGAGCTCAAACCTGGTTCAAGTTCTTGGTCTTCGAATCTTCGTAGATCTGGTTTTCTCCGGGCTTTCTCCTTGGAAGACTTGGAGGACTGGACTTGGAAGCTCTGAAGATGCCAGAGCCATATGGGATCTCACCAGCTCAGACCAGCGACAAGCTCAGCTCTCAGATTCTGAGTCGGAATAGGCTAAGCCAATGCCCAACCCTCCACTCGCTTCACCAGCTTCAGTTTTGTTCACATTTTTGGAAGTTCCATCTCCCTTTTCTTCCTTTTCTTCCTTTTCACCCTTCTCTTCATTGTTTTCCTTCGAGTTTGCCTCGGCTTTCTCAGTGTCCGTGCGTGGCTTCTTCACGGACAAGACTGGCATCTTCTTCTCGACTTTCTTCTCCACCTTGGCCGCGAACGCCAACTTCTGCCCCTTCGACACATCGGCTTTCTGCTCCTGGAGACAACTGTCACAAGGAACACGACTTTGTGGACTTTGTGAAATGGAAAGAAGCAAAAAGATGCAAACAGGATAAGAAGGGAGCTTCAGCGCCAGAAAACATTCAAGTGCAACTGCAAGATATTGCAAGTAGGAAAAAGAATCATGAGAACTACTATACCCAATTCAACTCAATTCAACTCAACATCCTCAACAGTGAACTTCTCCCAAAGACAAAGTCATAGATCTGCACAGATCTACCACAGTCTACCAAAGTCTACTACAGTCCTCGAGCAACTGAGCAAGTTCGTTCTGCTCCGCGGCTTTTCGTTTCTGCGATGCCTCTCGTTCCTTCTCGAGGTCCTCCTGACTCACTGTGCTACCAGCGAAAGCTCTCGCATTGGCAGCACTGTACCGATTCACCTGGCGGTATCAAACCTTCCAGGTACTGCAGTTGAAATTACCCATAGTTGCCATGGCTACTCTATTTCATTGTAACATATTGTAACATACTGTATATCTATGATTATCTGTATGATACTGTAAATAATGTTGTGCTGATGATGACTTCATGGTGCATGTTTCTGATCTCTGGTTTCAGAATCCCTGCCATTCTCACAGACATTCTCTCAGAATCTCTCAGTAAAAGCTGGTATGCCTCGCCTGACTGGCATGAATTGCAGCTCGACCTTTGAGTTCCGCCTCTTTGGAACTCCATGTGGAACTGTTGGCGAACATGTTGTTGATCCGTTCGCTGCTGGTCGTCATGGCTGCAGGGGACCCTGGGGAATGGATGGGAATGGACCGAACGGGACTTTCTGAGCTACAGCACTGCAGCCCATGGCATTGAAGCTGATCCCCAAGGTCAAGTGGCTAGCCGCTTAGCCTATTAGCCCATAATAGCCCATGTCACCATGATGCACCCTGATGCACCGTGCAATGGCTCTCCTGGATCTCCAAAGCAAGGTCATGAGTGAGTTCTGGTGGTGCCATGGCGGCCTCAACTGCCTTCACCGACTTTCAAATTGCTGCGGCAATCCTGGACACATCTGGCAACAGCTTGATGCTCAAAATATCTAAAAATCATTGATCAGAATCCGATGTGAACAGAAGGAATTTATCTATGCTGGCTGATGATGCTGATGCAAGGCTGGCTGCATTTTCACTCGATGCTCTAGGTTTGGAAGGCAAAGCAAATGCTTGAAGCCTACTTCACCGTGCAGAGTGTTTGCTGAGAAGGGATCCGGTTCTTGACATTCTCCAGCCCGTGTATCATGGTTCTGACTGGTGCTAGAGAATCAAGATTCCATCCAGAAACAGAGTATATATGAATTGCTCACCATCAAATTCATGGCAACCTTTTCCAGGAGAAAGGATAGAAAAGGCTTAAAGGCGTTAAGCACGTTCTCCCTATAGTCTGACTATTTTCACCTGAAAATACTTCTGTGATCTCCCGTGCTTTGATGCTTGCACAGCTTTCATCAAGTATATAGCATACAGATGCATAAAGCTTGTTTAGAAACCGTGTTTCCAACCACTTTTGCGAGAGGCAGAACATGTTCGAGCCTTCCCACTTCTCAACGTTTATTGAACACTCCACCAGTATCAATTTCTCTACAATTCTTAAAAGTCACACGAAACGTGCTTTGCAGTCGCCTGGTGCGAACTGTTGTCAACTTGTCTGGCAAGCCATAGGCTTGTCTTGAGGTCCGAGCGACTCTGAAAGAAAACAGTCAAGGAAACAAGGGTTTCTGTAGATAAAGAACATGAAAGAACATCGAGGAACATCAAAGCACATTTGATCATTTATCAAATTTCATCATATTTCAATGTATATTTCATCTCATTTTTGTTGATTTTTGCTCACTGCCCCAAGGGGAAACTTAAAACTATCTGTGACGCAGCTCCAGTGCCCAGCGAAGGAAGCCACCTTTGAAACATTTTGAAACTATCCGGTGCCAGGTGCGATGATTTTTTCGACATCAGAAATTGATGGCCACCTTCATGGAAAATATGGCAGATTTTACAGAGCGAATTGCGTCTTTGCTGCGGATTCGTTGGACTCGTTGGATTCGTTGGATTTTGGGACGGGTTGGGAAGCTCGTCTCTTCCTACCTGGCGCGGAAGCGAACAAAAAAAACAAGATTGTATGACATTACACGATGAACTACTGACCCATCAACCTTGAAATTGACAATGTAGCTTTAAATGATGCTCAATGGTCAATATGACCAATGTATACCAACGTGAGTTTGTATCAAAAGCTTCATGGCATGATCATCCATGGCAAGCTGAGTTCATATTGCACTCAGGAACAGGTCTCAGCAATGCCTTAACTACGGATTTATGGATTGATGGAACCATGTGGTAGAACGATTTGTGTCATCAACGCAGAATCCAATGACCATTACTCATTTTTCAACCAGCTGAAGTCACTTGACGACATCCGACCAAAAACTGCCAGGCGGCCTATGTCAGATTCTGTCTTGTCGATCAACTGCATTAGCGCTTGGAGAATGGTTTTGCGCTCCTGGCAATGAAGCTTCCAGTTGACATTTGGCATTGATATTGACGAATTCATATATATATATACACATATAATCATATATATATATATTATCTAAATCCGCACTCCAGAAATTCAGACAAGGTATTCTTATAGCCCGTCCATCCTTGGGGAGTTTTAGCACAAATTCATTTTGCAGCTTGCCGTTCGAAAACACCACTTGTCAAACACTTGACACAAGCTTCAGCTTGATCATTGGGTCCTGGTCCGTGGTGTAGATGCCGAGTCCTTTTGCCAGCTTCAAAAACAAGAAAAAACAAGAAACATCTGAGACATGTGGTCAGATTATTGGAATCTTATTGGACATGTTTGGAAAGATGTTGTTTCTTTGGGGTTCCAAATTCTGAAGATCTTTGGAGCATTTTGGAGCAAAGTCTGACGCTGCGGTTTTCCCCACCTGGTCCACCCCCCACGTAGACGATGACGAAGATGAGAACTTCCACCAGGAGGCCGTACAAAAACTGAGCCTCAAGATGTTGGCAGAACTTGGAGCATTGGATCTCAAATCAGTCCCCTATAGTCCCCAAATGCATCAAAAAAAACCCGCAAAGCATTGCTAGATAATGGGACCCTTCTAGTCACTTAGTCTGAATCTGAATCGCTTGGACTTGGCAAAAAAAGTCATCCACTCTCTCTTTCACAACAAAACATGAGTCCTCTGCAAGCGGCGTTCTCTCGTCAATTACCAGCATGGACAAGCCTTTCAAGAAACAAATTATATATACAGTAACTATAAAACGCAATCAAGATATCATGGCTAGGTTAGTCAGATTCGAGATTTTGTTTTTTTTGTCTTTCCAACCATGACACATTTCAACTGAAGGCCGAATTCAACAAATTGGCAAAAAAGGCCAACTGCCACATGGCTGCCCCTCGATGTGCTTGCCCGAGTTTCTAGGACGCTTGTATCGCTCTTGCCATCCAGAAAGGGCGTAAGCGTGATGAAACTTAGATCTGTAAGTGGAAAAGCACGTCCAAATTGCTATGACTTTTAGCGTCTGTTCAATGTTCATAGATGTCATAGATGTCATAGATGTCACACAGGCGGACTTCATGATGCGGCCACAAAATCGTCGCCCCAAAAACATAATTTTCCTTTGAGCGATGCCGCGATGCATGGTGCTCACATATGCTCACATGATCAAAGATGATCAAAGTACCAGTATATCAAAGTACAACTTCCGAACCAACTGGACTGCAGTTACTGCAGTTTCAGCTTTGTGCCAGGTCACACTCCAAGAAGCACCAGCAACCCAAATTGCGAGGTGGGGATGATGCGTTGCATAGATGAATACTTCCTACACCATGTGACACAACGAATTTCTCAGCGCTTTGCCAAATCTGCCAATTTTCTCCACCCAGATTCATCCAATGCCCGCCTCGAGCGAGCCATTCGCAGTGCAGTGACCACTGTCAAGAGCCGTTCACTGCCTCTTGGAGTTGGAGTGTCTCAAGACCGTCCGGTACAACAAACGCAGCAAGACATGGACACCGCAGTGTGTTGAGTACAGAGTTTCATTGTCATTTTTGTGAAGTAATCGTCTTGAGGCACATGAACTTCCCAGGCAAAATACCTCTTTGTGCACATGCCTGTCATAACTATCAAAGGAGAATCTGTTTCTAGCTGATATACTTGGAGGTCCGCCTTAAGCGCAGTGATTCACACCCAAACTTCAAAAAGAGATGTAACGGAAGGAGATTTGTCACACCAAACCACCTGTGGGTATTTCCAACAATCAACCCCAATTTCACCAGGTTTATGGGTGGTATCAGCCGTCCCCAACATTGGAGGTTTATGGTTAGCTTACCACCAACAGCTGTGGCGTTTTCCAAGTTGCCTGGAGTCTGAATTGAGATCAGCAGCCGAGAAATTTCCTCCACAGGATCCTGCACATCTCTGAAAAAACACATCCAATCTTTCCCACCCTAATGTCATAAACCCTGAATCATATACCATCACCAAGGTGACAAAAAAAAAAGGGTCTTTTTTCTTGACCGACCCCAAACGGCAGGTTTATCGGTTTATCATTATTTGGTGCATTTTTCTTTATTATTGGTAATAAAACCATACAAAGCCAACTGTTAATATATTAGTAATAATTGCCAACCTTTTTTCATGGTTAGTCATTTACCATTGGTAAAGAAACCACCAACCTTTTCCGCGCCAGTGACCATCAATCAATCCTTGTCCGAGCGCAGTGTCCGGGCAACGAGCTCCGAAGGGATGAAGCTCCTCGAGCGGTGAGTTGCCAGAGCTGTTCTGGCAGCTGATTGTGATATAAAGACATACATATATTACATTATACGACATTACATAATGTTACAGACCATTACATACATTACGTTAAATTACATTACATTACATTACATTGCGTTGCATTACATTGCATTGCATTACATTACATTACACTACATACATTACATTAACATTACATTACATTACATTACATTACATTACATTACATTACACTACATACATTACATTACATTACATTACATTACATTACCTTACATTACATTACATTACATTACACTACATACATTACATTAAATTACATTACATACATTACATTACATTACATTGCATTGCATTACATTACATTACATTACATAACATAACATAACATACATCCATACATGTATATATATATAGATATGTATGCATGCATGCTTTGAGACATATCGCAACGACCCCATCAACAACGATACCTTCATATCTGCCACCTGCCATTCCCACACCGAGAAACGCATTTCGCCAGGTGCTCGATGCCAAGTACAGTCGAGCAAATCGGAAGAGCAACAGAAGTTCAGGCTCCGCCAGTAACAGCGGTGCCTGCGGTAGCTCAGCTGGGTGGTGATGCCACATAAATATTATGGGTGGATTTCTTTACGTTTTGTATCTTAACTTATGTCAATCCTCTATACTCAGTTCTTGAGGTCTTACATGTGCACATCATAATATGATATAATACATGTACATATGATTACTTGTGCATTATATTATATATATATCATACACAGTATATGTACCAGATTGATCACCCACATCCTTTCGCTTCCCATTTCGCAGGACCTCCTCCAGGAGTTGCGTAAGCACCGCCGACTCTTCGTACATCGCTTCGTAGAATTTCTCCTTTCGCAGAGTGGATGGTTTGACATGGAGCATCGAATATCATGGGGTCATACATGGTACTACTCCTAGGTCTGGGGGAGTATGAATGTTTATGATAGTAGTTCAAAGTCCATATGCAGAATCACTATTAAAGTAACAGAAGTGTCGAGAGGTGGATATCATAACCTGTTGATTGACAGTGCACTGGAGTGTCAACCACTTCTTGGGTATTATCAATTGGTTGTATTGCCATGTATTTTTTGTGTGTAAATCTCCCCTTCCGTAAATCAGTACACAGGCAAGGGTATGTTTTACATTTGGGCGCTCCCCACTTGACTTTTTGGATCCCACAGTCCCAAACGAAGATTTCTTGTTTTCCATCTTTGGGGAGTATCTGCACGATCATGTTGCGCCGTCCTGACGCGCCAACAGAAAGGACGCTGTGTAGCCAAGTAGAAAACTGAAAAGGAGTCCGACGGTGTTCCTTGCCAAAAAAACAAGTAGCATCAGCAACTTCTGAGAGACAGAGACTTGTACAACACATTGAAATCGCATCATGAAGCACTAAAGTCACTAAAGCCAAACTGCACATGTTCGTTTTTGTTTAAACCAACCCGTGAGCTGAAGCAAAGTATGGGATGCAAGCATTCGGCAAAACTCGACTTTTCTTGGATTTGCCATGATGCCTCAGCACAGTTTCTACGGCATCTGGATTTGATTTCATGACTGTCCCTGCAGGTCCCCACCTGAAGAAAACCTGCATGGCTTCCGGTACGGAACCACAAAGGCCAATGAAATCAAAGCATAGGGGCCTCTGCTGACACTTCTGGGTAGCGAGGTCAGCATGGAAACAAAAATCTTATCTTTAAGCTAAATGGGTGCTCAAAACCACCTCAAACCATGCTGAAAAATTCAAATGAGTGCCTCAAGTGGCCATGGCTCAAAGATATAGTCCCAATGGACCGGTTTAAGTCATTACTATATGCTTTTGTCTGAGAATGTTTTACCCAGAATTCCATGATTCAAAACCTTCCCATTCTTGGCAATTTGGCGGCAAATACCTGTATCCCATCCATCTTTGGACACACAGCAATATCAGAATGCTGGTTGTATTCCAGAAAAATCCCATTCACATCCTCGTAAAATGGTTTGTTTTTTTATCCTAATAACTTGGTTGGTCGCCAATTGAAAGAATATTGATGATTAAATCCAAATTCTTCGAAAAACTCACACGGTGACTTGAAATTCCATGATCTCCCATTTTGAACAACCCCCCAAAAATTAGATTGGTTACATACATATCCTCATGAACTGTCACCATTGTATTCCCATTGGCAGATCTTCCCATTGGCCAAGGGGCTGGTTCCCATTGATCAGTTCCGCCGATGCATCCCTCAGGTAGGGATACGCCATCGCGGCCAGCGGTCCAGCGACAAAGCCCGCCAGCAACTGCAGCATTTTGAGTCCAGCGGAGGGCCAAGTGGAGTTCTAGTCGATAGATATTATGGGGATATTTGATGGGATATATATATATATGCTATGTATATAATATTACTATATATACACATACAGTACAGTAATATAGAGCCAAATATAATAGTTAAGAATTTAAGGCACCAACTGAAACCATCAAGCCAGCCAGCCTGTGGATAGAGCTAGGATATATCCAATTGAAATGATTGTGCGGAACGTTCAACCAACAGTCAACCACTAAAGGGCCGATGTGACTCCCTCTATGACTGGTGCTGGAACCAGGCAAACAGGATTATCCAGGATTATATATACGTATATATATAACATTGTATAACATATTTTGCAACGTATTGTAAAGCGATTTCTAGCTTCAAGTTGCAACCTAGAGACAAACAAGTCGCAACCCCATGATAAGCCAATCAGATGCCAATCAGAAAACGGTTAAAACGGAGTCACACGAGTCATAGCCCTACCATAGTAGTATCTTACAGATATCATTATTGTATGTATATATATATAATGGTTATCATCATTATTACTATTGTCATCTTTTACTATTGTAATTGTTGTTGTTCTTCTTATTATTGGTATTGTCATATTGTTACTATCATTATTCTTAAAACCATGCATGCTCATTCACAGTTCATTGATGCATTGGTGACACCTCCACTTCTCGGAGGCCACGTTCTCGCGCTGCAATGATGGCCTCCAGTGCCGGAATTGGGAGCTACGGATCCATGGTGGATACCCCAATTACTGGATGGTTTGGAATGGACAATTCAAATGGATCGTTTGGGGGTACCCCCATTTAAGGAACCCAAAGCTACCGCTGGAAATGCTGGAAATCACTGGAAATGCAGCATGTAGTCCCAAGATGTCCCAAGAACCAACCGGGGCCATGACTACGAAGTCTCTCAATATATCTCAATCATTATGTATATACAAGCAACATACAAACAAACAAACAAAAACATATAAATAAATAAATAAATAATAATAAAAAACAAATATATACGTACGTATGTATATACAGGTTACACACATATGTACATATAGACGTATACACACATACACGTAAATCTTATCACATCTGCGTCTGCAATCAAGGGACATCCTCACCACGGCGGCCACGCCGCTCGCTCTCTTCCCTCTCTCGAAGAGCCCGCTCTCTTCGGCTCTCGCTCTTGCAGTGGCGCGCAGTACCTGGGTCCCTAAAAATCTCCGTCATTTGCATTTACCAATGAAATCCTATTCAAGGGAATCTTGACGCCCATGAAATCCTCTGAATGGGGGGAAGACCATGGATGACCATCCCTATGGGAAAGCTATGGAAAAACCAGCAATGTTTCAATCTTAATCATGTCACTCATGGCACTCATGGCACATGGGAGCTCATGACACCATGTTCACCGGCACCTCTGGGATCTCTGGGGATCCAACCCTGAAACCGCCGAAGGGCAGTGGCCTCTCCAAGCTTCGTTAGATCGACTTGGAAGGATCGGATCACACAGATCGAAAGCTTCGCCACTGATCTTTGCCCTGCCACTTTGATGATGTCTTTTGAAATCCGGGGATCCAGTTTACCACGTCTGCTTCTACGACTTTACTACACTAATACTCAGAATCAACAAAAATAACAATAGCAATGATAGTAATTACATCTAATAGCAACCTCCAAGTACAACCTGAACAACCTCTGGGGTGGTCCACACTGCGCCTTTGCAGTGCAGAAAGCCAAACAACAGGTAGAAAAGTTGCGCCCGGCAGACGCAGGAGAGGTCCTGTCAGTCTCAATTCATCCTATGGGAATGATCTCGTGGCTACATGTGGCTACCATCTTCAATTTTTCCAGAATAATTCCATAATTATTCAGTAAATCTAAGAACCCCAGCCATGAATTAAATAAATATATATATATATTTATTATGGTTTGTGCTCTCACTATCCTTGCTATTGTTACGGCAAGACCCTGAGGTTTGCCCGGACTCGCAGCGCGTGTCCGGGCAAGCCAAAATGACGATGACGATGACGACGATGATGATGACGACGACGATGATGATGATGATGATGATGAGGATGACGATCTTGGTATCTTCTTAAAACCCTATAAGAAACCCAGTGACTGTATGGTAGATAGTTCCATGGGGCTGGGGGATTTTGATATCTTCTTGAAACCCTATAAGAAACCCTAATGACCTGTATGGTTAATTGTTTCATGGGGCCGGGATATTTTGATATCTTCTTGACACCCTACAAGAAACCCTAATGACTGTATGGTTAATTCCATATGATATGTAGAAGCAACATGTTATGGTTGTATGATACGTAGAAGCCACATGTTCTGGTTAACACCCTAGCAACATAATTGAACATAAAATCCTTCTCGTTGTGACATCGTACAGATTTCCCTGGTATTTACGCCATTCTGGGCTTGGGCAAACCTCGGGGTCTGTGTGTATTGTTATTGTGATTATTCATTATTTATATTCATCATGGATATTCATATTGTTCATGTTCATACTATTCTCATATTATCATGACTGATATTTCATATTCTCATATGTTTATACTATTCTCATATAGCGTTCCAGCAACAAAACCACAGCACAACTGTCCCCAGAACGCCTTTCTGGACGAATTCTCTCTGAAGACCTGCTGCCACGAAGCACTTCACAGGCACTAGGCACCCAATGTCATCGATCACTAAGATTGATGGAGATAATATGTGCTAGTATTCTAAAGATAACATCATAGGTGTAGTATTATAATATATATGTATGTGTTCATGATATACTATGGCATATACATATATTATATGTGTATAATCTACATACACCATGTTCCAGTCCCATTCCAGTCGCATCATTGTTGCATCACTTGCTATCTTCAAGGCACTCTGCACCCCGCGCCTCGAAGATTGAAATGCCGGAAGCGGGTGAAAATCCACCGACGAAATCATTGCCCTGAAGCCAACGATGGGAGCTATCAAGGCCTGAATCTTAGGGCTGGGCCTTGAGAATTTTATGCAATGCTGTTGCCTCAAAAATTTAAGCTTCTATACGTTTTTTTTGAAGATAGTGTGGTTTTGAAGACGATCTGCGAGCTGTTCAATCTCCAGGTGTACTCAGTGTACTCAGTGTACTCCATTCAAGCCATGTGCTAAATTGCTTGGGTATTCCGATCTGCTTTTTGACCTTCCATTTTTCTGCAGCTGTCAGTGAAGATGGCTTCGGAACAATGTTTCAGGCCAGGCACTCATAGAAATTTCCAACCGGCTGTCTGCATAACTGGCAGCAAGCTGATACAAAATGGGGTTGTCTGAAAAACGGAATCTACAATTCCGATAGCTTACCAGCATTGTACTCACCAAATTGCAATTTTGGAGTATCACCATCCAGTTTAGAGGAAAAACCCGACATCATCTTGTTGGTTACAGTATATCATGTTATATCCTATAACGCATCCCATTTACATCCCCATCTAAAGTGGCTAAATTCAACGCTCCTTTTGGATCCGCCTACGGCCGCGCACTTTGCGCTGCCAGGTGAAACAGCTCTCTTTGTTCATGAGATCAATGCAGGTTTTCCATGGTTTTCCTCAGCAAACCAAAGTTCTTCACTCAGAAAAATCAGTATCTAGCAGATCTAGCAGTTAACTATGTATGATGTCTATATTACATATCATATACATGTATATGTATATATGTGTATACATGTATTAATATTAACATTATCCACAGAGGAAAATATGAACACATCCTCTTGGAATATGTTGAGCCAAGCTGAACTCTGGCTGGTTAGGCTGAAATCCTGCGAAGTCTCACGGGAAGGCTCTCCTAGTCTAGCGCGATGAACACCACCCCTGACACTAGCACGTTGTCAAGTAGTCAAGGTGGGATCGTGAAAATTTGAAAGAACGTAAAGAACTCAGACTGATGGCCAGATGGAGTTCTGCGAACCACGCTGGGTGCAAATTATGATTGAAACATCAAAAACAAACCAACGAAACAAACAGATTCAATATACTTCTTTAAAACAAAGAAGCAGCCGCCGAAACATCAGCTGCAAAGGACGTTCTCATCGCTCTATTTCCGCCGTCTAAAACCATGCGCCGTCCGTGCGCCGTTCAGCACCCGAAGCGCCTGCATCTGATGTTTGAAGTCAGGGCAACAGAGACAAACTGCTTAGGCCAAAATAGGAAGTGACCAATTTCTGGAATTTCTGATGAGAGAGTAATTAATCATACATGTGCACATGATTTAATGTTATATATATATATCATTACATACATACATACATACATATATATATATAGATTGATTGATTGATTGATTGAATGTATGTATGTATGTATATCTGTATGTCTGGTATGTATGGTATGTATGGTATGTATGTCATGTCTGTTATGTATGTTATGTATGTTATGCATGTTATGCATGTTATGCATGTTATGCATGGTATGCATGGTATGCATGGTATGCATGGTATGCATGGTATGTACGTTATGTAGGTTATGTACGTTATGTACGTTATGTATGTTATTTATTTTTCATGGATGTTATGCATGTTATGTATATTAGGTTAGGTTAGGTTAGATTAGGTTAGGTCAGGTCAGGTTAGGTATGGATGTATGGATGTATGGATGTATGGATGTATGGATGTATGGATGGATGGATGGATGGATGTATGTATGTATATATATGTATATACACATTCACACTCAAATTATATACATGGTAATACATGGTACATATGCTTGTTTCGTCTCCACCTCTGTAAGCGTTTCGAACCATGGGCTTCCTCCCTTCCATATGCAGCGTCCTCAGAATTCGGTGTTGCTATCGTTCTGCCTCGAATCAGGCAGACATGAATCCGAAAGACTCGGCAGGTTCTTTGTATTCCTTGGGTCGACAACCCATAAGTTTGTTGTCAATCCCACTGAACCCTTCGCAGTACCTTCAGATCCATATGATCCATGATCTTGGCGACAAATGTCAATAATAGATGCCAATCGATTTCAGTATACAGATCAAACAAGTACACAACGTTTCATGTTTGGATGATATCACATTATCATACATTATCAGACTGAAAGACGTGTCTTAAAGATCATCACACCATGTCAGACATATGTCATATACATCTACCAAGAGTCAAATCTTTGCCCCTGAGCCTCCAGCTGCGTCAGGCTCTGGCTAAGGCTTCCTGTCGTGGCAAACCGTGGGCGCTCAATGAAATTGAAATCGGCAAACAGTTGCAGCTCTGGTCAGTTGATGATATCTACATTCAATTGATTCAATTTAAGTGGTGCTCTAGTTCATTGTTGCAAGTGATTGAACCGCATTTTTGGTGGGGCTGAGTTGGCAACCATTGATTCTTCCCAAACCTTTAAATATTAGCCCAGCCTAGGCCTGATGCCATGAGACCTGCCACAGCTGAGCGCTCTGTGGTGGCACCGGATCCGCTGGAACCTCGCAATCGCTGCAACTCACCGAATCATCACTGAATGTTCAGTTTGATGATAAGTAGATCACTGAATTCCCAAGCTGCTGATTATCAATCAAAATGATAAGTAGAAACGTCACCAGAACTATGACCACATATAACATTGTATAATATACAGTAGTATAACTATGTATAAGTTTGTATAAACTATAACCTGCACGGGACCATAGGTGTAGCCACCATCATCTCCACCACTGGCCTTGTTCAGCAGGACCAACCTAGCAATGATATGCAATGACCAGGTTACCACATTTGCCGAATTTTGACTTCGATATTGTGGATACAGAGTAGATTGAATACAAATACACAGTGATACACAATAGATACACATAAACTGTGTAAAAAGAGGATATGCTGGTACCGTGCCCTGTGGCTCAGCGACCTTGTGAGTAGTCCTCTTTTTGGGCAGCAAGCCACCTGGCTGCGTGGCTATGGCCCTATGGCTTTTTGGTTGAAACAAAACTGGCACCTGAAGCATCAATGGGCGGAAAGGTCAGGCCTCAGCTTCCCACCATCCCGAATTGGACTCGAAATCGCTCGTCTCGTACATTCAAAAAAAACGTCCAGCTACATATATCCTAATCTATGTAATTACATATATCTCAATCTCGAATCGCATTTCCGTCCATTTTCCATCCATTTTCATCGAGAGTTTTTTGAGAGCGAAGTGGCCTGATCCACCGCCAACTGTTGCACCAAAGCCTGGCCAGGCTGCATCCGTCGTGAAATATGGGAAGTTCATAGCCTTCAACCAGCCAATATGTGGGATTTTCATAGGGATTCCATGGAGTTTAACGGTGATAATGAGATTTAATATGGAGTCCGTAGGGATTGAACCGGGATGTCATGGCAAATAAAGCAACTTGAACCATGTTCAAATCCCGAAATGTCATTCCATGAAATTTTGGTTGGAAAAAACATGAAGAAAGAACAGGTTTCCAAGTGAAACTGGATGATCATCCTTTTCATTGGAGATTATGACCCCCGAACCAATCGTCAACCAACAGCAGTGTCTTGCAGCCCATCCTCACCTGAAGTGCCACTCGAAGTACTCTGCCCAAAGCCACCTACAGCCGGCTGCAACTGCCCATGACTCTTTCAAGAGTTTTAAGCTCTGCAAACTGGGGATATTACACAAAACATGGGTAACTATATTGGGAATTGTTGGGATAGTATCCTTAGCATTCCTTACCCAAGTGATCGGGGCCTGTGGATGACATCTGCTGGACGCCTCGCCGACCTTGGTAAACCAGTGAAATCGGCTGCATCCAACTTACACTATAATATTTGTATATGTATAGATACACACAGATAGATAGATAGGATAGGATAGGATAGATAGGATAGATAGGACAGATAGGATAGATAGGATAGATAGGATAGATAGGATAGATAGGATAGATAGGATAGATAGGATAGATAGGATAGATAGGATAGATAGGATAGATAGGGTAGATAGGATAGATTAGGATAGATAAGGTAGAGAGGATAGATAAGTAAGATAGATAGATAGATAGATAGGATAGATAAGATAGATAGGATAGATAGGATAGATAGGATAGATAGGATAGATAGGATAGATAGGATAGATAGGATAGATAGGATAGATAGGATAGATAGGATAGATAGGATAGATAGGACAGATAGGATAGATAGGCTGTAGATAGGATATAGGATATAGGATAGATCGGATAGATCGGATAGATCGGATAGATCGGATAGATCGGATAGATCGGATAGATCGGATAGATCGGATAGATCGGATAGATCGGACAGATCGGATAGATCGGATAGATAGGATAGATCGGATAGATCGGATACCGGATAGATCGGATAGATCGGATAGATCGGATAGATCGGATAGATCGGATAGATCGGATAGATCGGATAGATCGGATAGATCGGATAGATCGGATAGATCGGATGGATCGGATGGATCGGATGGATCGGATGGATCGGATGGATCGGATGGATCGGATGGATCGGATGGATCGGATGGATCGGATGGATCGGATGGATCGGATGGATCGGATAGATCGGATAGATCGGATAGATCGGATAGATCGGATAGATCGGATAGATCGGATAGATCGGTGGATGATATATCGATAGATCGGAATAGATTCGGATAGATCGGATAGATCGATAGATCGGATAATCGGATAGTCGTATAGATCGGATAGATCGGATAGATCGGATAATCGATAGATCGGATAGATTCGGATAGATCGGAAAGATCGGATAGATCGGATAGATCGGATGAGATCGGATAGATCGATAGAAATCGGATAGATCCGGATAGATCGGATAGACGGATGATCGATAGATAGGATAGATAGGATAGATAGGATAGATAGGATAGATAGGATAGATAGGATAGATAGGATAGATAGGATAGATAGGATAGATAGGATAGATAGGATAGATAGGATAGATGGATAGATAGGATAGATAGGATAGATAGGATAGATAGGATAGATAGGATAGATAGGATAGATAGGATAGATAGGATAGATAGGATAGATAGGATAGATAGGATAGATAGGATAGATAGGATAGATAGGATAAAAAAGATCAGATAGATCAGATAGATCAGATAGATCAGATAGATCAGATAGATCAGATAGATCAGATAGATCAGATAGATCAGATAGATCAGATAGATCAGATAGATCAAATAGATCAGATAGATCAGATAGATCAGATAGATCAGATAGATCAGATAGATCAGATAGATCAGATAGATCAGATAGGTCAGATAGATCAGATAGATCAGATAGATCAGATAGATCAGATAGATCAGATAGATCAGATAGATCAGGTAGATCAGGTAGATCAGATAGATCAGATAGATCAGATAGATCAGATAGATCAGATAGATCAGATAGATCAGATAGATCAGATAGATCAGATAGATCAGATAGATCAGATAGATCAGATAGATCAGATAGATCAGATAGATCAGATAGATCAGATCAGATAGATCAGATAGATCAGATAGATCAGATAGATCAGATAGATAGATCAGATAGATCAGATAGATAGATCAGATCAGATGAGATGAGATGAGATGAGATGAGATTAGATAGATAAGATAGATAAGATAGATACGATAGAAGATAGATAAGATAGATAAGATAGATAAGATAGATAAGATAGATAAGATAGATAAGATAGATTAGATAGATTAGATAGATTCGATAGATTCGATAGATTCGATAGATTAGATGGATTAGATAGATTAGATAGATTCGATAGATTCGATAGATCGATCGATAGATAGGATAGATAGGATAGATAGGATAGATAGTATAGATAGGATAGATAGGATAGACAGGATAGACAGGACAGATAGGACAGATAGGACAGATAGGATAGATAGGATAGATAGGATAAATAGGATAGATAGGATAGATAGGATAGATAGGGTAGATAGGGTAGATAGGGTAGATAGGATAGATAGGATAGATAGGATAGATAGGATAGATAGGATAGATAGGATAGATAGGATAGATAGGATAGATAGGATAGATAGGATAGATAGGATGGATAGGATGGACAGGATGGACAGGATGGATAGGATGGATAGGATGGATAGGATAGATAGGATAGATAGGATAGACAGGAAAGACAGGATAGACAGGATGGATAGGATGGATAGGATAGATAGGATAGATAGGATAGATAGGATAGATAGGATAGATAGGATAGATAGGATAGATAGGATAGATAGGATAGATAGGATAGATAGGTAGATAGGTAGCCGGGATGGGATGCGATAGGACAGAATGGGACAGGACTGAATAGGATGGATAGGATAGAATTGCATTGGAAAGGATGTGATAAGATAGGATAGGCTAGGAGAGGAAAGGTCGAGGAAATGGTCTCGGAAGTTGGATGTAAACATTGGATAGATATAGGTCAGGGCTGGATAGGTGAGAATAATTGGACAGATAAGACAAACACGACAGATCGGACAAACAGGAAACCTAGGATAGATAGAGTAGATAGGACAAATAGGCACAGAATCTCCCAAATCTCCCGGAACCGTCTAGAACCTTCCACAATCTCCAAGCCAGCCGCACTTTAACCTTGCTCTGGGCTCAATCCCTGGAGCTGGGACTGCTGGGCAAAATTGCAAACTAGGTTTGAAAAAAGAGGTGCAAGGTTAGAAAAAAGAGGTGGCAAGGTCAGAAAAAGAGGTGCAAGGTTAGAAAAAAGAGGTGGCAAGGTCAGAAAAAAGAGGTGCAAGGTTAGAAAAAGGAGGTGGCAAAGTCAGAAAAAAGAGGTGCAAGGTTAGAAAAAAGAGGTGGCAAGGTCAGAAAAAAGATGTGCAAGGTTAGGAAAAAGAGGCTCAAGGTTTGAAAAAGAGGTGGCAAGGTCAGAAAAAAGAGGTGCAAGGTTAAAAAAAAGGTGGCAAGGTCAGAAAAAAGAGGTGCAAGGTTAGGAAAAAGAGGCTCAAGGTTTGAAAAAAGAGGTAAGGTTTAAAAAAAGAGAGACGCAAGGTTAAAAAAAAATAGGGGCCCATTTATTTTCATATATTTTCAAGTCCTTTAATCTACCAGACTCGCAGCGACACGCAGGTACTCAAAGTTCCAGCCCAAGCGCTTCGGATTAGGTGTTTTCCAATCGCGAAAATGCGGCAAGTGTTGCAAACTTGGACAGGAGAAAGATGGGCCTAGATTTTAAGCATATTTAAACAAAACAAAATGACCTACCAGTGCCCCTCTAGAAAATCAGGGACCACTAGAAAATCTAGGAACGTCCTCCCAGAAATGCTAAAATTATGCTCCTGGATTTTAAGCACTTAAGCTACCCAGAAAATCAGGGTCTCCCGACTCAGAGGTCTCCAAAAGTTGTTCTGTAGAAAATGAGAGGGTTGATAAAAGCAGTCTTTCATCAAAATCGAAGAATTTTCGCGCCAGAAAATCAATCCTTCTTAGGGGGGTTAATCCCCCTGAAATCCTAGAGGAAACTCACACCGGTATATTCCTTATTTATCCTTACCTTATCCTATTACAATCTTACCAAATTATATATATATCTCCCCGGAAGAGATCCCAAATAAATAATCAAAAAAATATATTATATAACCGAAGGAAATTTAGAAGTCAAATTTCCGACAATATGAACAAAAAAAAGCAGAGATAGACAGAGTCAGAGAGAAGAGAAGAAGAGAGAAGATCAGAGAAGAGAAAGAGGAAAATCGCGAAACGCTGTGTTTTTCCAATGATTTGAAGCTCCGGAGGGTCGAAAAGTAGGCTCGCTAAAGCGACGGGTGCGGAGGAATCTGGCCAGATAAGAGATGAAAAATTGCACGCCATTGCGCGACGGAGCACATTTCCAAATCACAATTTACAAAATATACCATGCTCGGACCACTTTTGGAAATTAAGATGTCGAAAAAGTGGTCGCCGTTATGGCACGAAGCACATGTCGAAGTCAACATGTACAAAACACACCATTCTCGGACCACTTTTCGAAATTGAGATGTCGAAAAAGTGCACGCCGTTCTGGCGCGAAGCACATTTCGAAGTCAAAATATACAAAACACACCAGCACCGTTGTCCACTTCGAAAAATAAGGAAATCCCGAAAAATTACTTTGTTTTTGACGTTGTCAAGTGCAAAAATTGAGGAAGTCTCGCAGAATTGCTTCGTTTTTGATGTTGTCAAGCTCAAAACTTGCGGGAGTCTTGCAGAATTGCTTCGTTTTTGATGTTGTCAACTTTGAAAAACGAAGAAGTCTCGCAGAATAGCTTTGTTTTCAAGCTTACAGATAGACAGATAGATAGAGAGACAGCTAGATAGCTAGATAGCTAGATAGCTAGATAGCTAGATAGATAGATCGATAGGTCGATAGATCGATAGATCGATAGATCGATAGATAGATAGAAAGAAAGAAAGATAGATTAGATAGATAGATAGATTAGGTAGAGATATTAGATAGATAGATAGATTAGATAGATAGATTAGATTGGCTTAGCTTAGTTTAGCTTTGATTAGGTATGTAGATAGATAGTTAGATAGATAGATAGATAGATAGTTCATTAGATAGATCGATAAATAATAAATAGATAGATAGATAACTAGATAGATAGAAAGATAGAGAGAGAAAGAGAGAGAGAGAGAAATAAATAGATAGATAGACACATAGATAGATAGATACATAGATATTGGCACCGTTTGCCAAAAGCCAGTATTATGTGCAAAGGTATACAGCGCTTTGGGTCCAGTATGGTTTGGTTGTTGGATTTTTGGAATATCCAACTGTAGACATATTGCTGCGCGCTTGTCATTCGAATCTGATTGGATTTCAACAATATCAAGGCTTTTGAACTTGTTGTGCAGTGAAGCATGGGCATTGAGGACTTGACTGAGTATAATAGTACAGGCAGATCTGATGTTTGGTTGATTTCTCCACATAGGGCCCGCCCAAATATTCAGCAAACGCTGCAGAATGCAGCTTCAACTGGGGTTCCGGCACAAAGCCTCTTCGGCTAGTGAAATGTCGTCTCTATGACCATGCCTGTTTCCAAGGCATTCTGGATTCGAGGTTTGACAGCACTCAAATCTGACTTTATCCGTCCTAGTACCAAAGTATACAGCTGTTCCCAATCGCAATGGGTGCATGTCCTCAAATCACTCAAAGTGGCACACCAAAAACCTGCAAGTGGTGAAGTGACGTAAAACTGTTTCAAAATTGGGTGTTGTACTTCTTGCACCATGTCCGTCACACCCGCAGCGCGCTGGACTGTGTATTGTTGGAGATCCAAGCCTGTTAGCCTCTGCATTGAGCTGTATTGACTTGAGTACTGCTTTCCCCGGTATTCATGCATACGAACAATAGCTCCGGGAAGGCATATGTCGTTGACAGATCTTGACTGACCAACAGATTGAGATGTTTTGTCCCCTGCCGTCGTGTCTGAAGGCCCCACTTGAGGCACGAGCACTGGTGGGAACATTGATGTGATTGCTAGTGGCACGTTCATGCACTGAAAACGCATCATTTGTTCATTCTGCAACTGTGTCTGATACCGCAAGTGCGCGGCCATAGTCATTTGTGATTCTATATCTGCAAACTTCTCAACAACTTGAACGAGTTGTGCCAATCCTTCTTGGGAGTTCACCTCTAACTTGTATTCACCTATTTGTCCCTTAACAGTCAGCGAAGCTGTGGGCATTGGTGAAGGAGGTGGTGGTAATGGAGGCTGCGGCGGTATCAAGCAAGGATTTGGAGGTATCAAAGGTGGTGGGCCACCTCTACTCTTCGAAGTCATGGCTGTCACGGTGCTAAGGTACCACACAGTCTGTTCCCAGACGCTACTAGTCAATCAATGGTCAAGTTTTCACTGCATGTCTGTATCTTAATACTGACTTGGTAGCATTGGTATAAGGCTAAGGCATCAATACCATCTGATATAACAGAATACGGTTGGTCAAATACCAAAACAAACGCAAAAACTTTATGCCTACTTGAAATCTGACTGTAACTTCCCACCATTCACTCTTGACTTCTGAAGATCGGGAAACGTAGGATTTCAAATGGCTGGTCTAAGACAATGGAAATGACATGCCGATTGGAAGTGGATGCACTTCTCGATTTGTGCATGCTGTTTTCCGAGACGTGTGTCGACACCGTTACACTGCAGATCTGTACATACTTAGTAACACATCAAGACATCTACAGCACGCATGAAATACAATATAATGGGAATAAGACTACGACACTTCTTGATGTGTGAGTTTCAGGGCAAAGTCGCAGAACAGTAGTTTCTCCACAAAACCAACATGTATGTCCGAAAACTCTTGCAGACCATCCAGACTGAAAAACCTCGCACTGCCTCGCACGCAGAATAAACGCAACTGGTCTAATTGCTCGCAAGCGAAAGTGACAACGAGCAAGTACTCACATGAGCAGTTCGTTTGTTTCACGTATGTTTCTCGTTGTGGGGAGTTCTAAGCTACCGGACTGAATTTATCGTTGAACATGTTAGGTAATCCTTGCTCCACTGGGCGTCCTTCCCCGACTGGGGATCCTTCACCTCTTAGTGGGTCCTTCAGCTCTTGCTGTCCTTTTTCTGCCCGTGGGCACTATTACGCCCATAAAGCTCCTAGTACAGTCATGTACCTGACTGTCATTCAAACTACAATTTAGCTGGGCTCTCTTTGCCGGATACGCCAGCACGTCCTTGAGCCGAGGCGTACCTCTGCGACGGTGTCGGCAATATGTGCCGTGCACCCACACACAAGCTGTTGTATTAAGTCTTGGAAGGGATCTTGCGAACGGTGATGTTCTTGTCCCCTTGATGGTGCCTGGGTTCGACGATCCTGAGTTTAGAACCTATCATTGTCGGCTTTCAATTGCAGTCCGCCGCTTGCTTTGGGAGGCACTCTGCTTGGGATTCCAAAGCGTATCAAAGCGTTGCATGTCTTGATATGAAGTCGCAACTTCTGCTTGGGATTCCAAAGCATATCAAAGCGTTGTATGTCTTGATATGAAATCGCAGCTTCTACACTTTCTGCACTTTCTTTCTATCCACCTGATTCCTGAAACAGCCTGAGGAAAAAGCTTGTATAACAGTTGAATACCCGTGAACGAGAATCAAGGCAGGTACGTGACTCCAGCGTCCCGGAGTCATATCCTCTCCAATCATCAGTAGCTTCGTTGGCCACGGACTGATGAATGGAGCCGTGGCCCCCTGCTATGATTGAAATCTGTACGAACGAGCCGATGGCATAACTGCATGTGTCTAGCAGTTAAGCCATGGGCATGGCATTTGGGGGTTTCATTTGCATATGGGGGCTTCATATTTGGCTACCCTCTGTTGAATACTATGGGTTTCTTCTTGCCACCTGCTGTGGCACTGACTGCTCCTATTTGCTGCAACTTCATAGTTGGCTACCCTCTGAGGAATACTATGGATTTCTTCTTGCGTGGCACTGACTGCTCCTATTTGCTGCAACTTCATAGTTGGCTACCCTCTGTTGAATACTATGGATTTCTTCTTGCCACCTGCTGTGGTACTGACTGCTCCCACCTGCTGCAATGCAAAGGGGTTTCATAGTTGGCTACCCCCTGTTGAATTCTGTGGATTTCATCATGCTATCAGCTGCAGTAGTGTTCTGATGTCAGAACCTTTCTTCTTCAAATAAAGCAAATCCAAATCGATGTTTCAAATTTATCAGCACTGTCTTTCAAATGCCAGATTTTTTTCAGGGTTCAAAAACATTTTGCACCTGCTCAAATGTTTTTAAACGAGCAGGAAAAATATTGCAAACACATTCAATTTTCACAAACTGGCAGAATCTGCTCTGCATTCAGCGCTTGAGACTTGAAGCATCAACCAGGGAACTTTCAACAACTTTAAAACGTCATCATAGTCGAGATATTTTCATTTGCTGAAACATTCGGTTGGTCATATGACTGTGTGTGATCACCCGTGGTGCCTTGTTGCTTCCATTGCTTCCTTTCAGAGGGAAGCTTTCAATTGTGTCTGATGTTCTCTTCCTCCACTTCTGGATCCTTCTTCGTGGGCAACAGGCAGGCCAATTTATCAACTTACTATGTAATCAGACTTTGCATCAATGATTCAGCAGCTTTAGCTTTGCATGTTCGATGATGAAATATGGTCGTTTATCACCTAATGACAGGTTCGCACTTTGGATGGGCGAGTATGAGGCAGGGTAAATTTCAGTTGTGAGACTGAACGCTGCAGTCCTTTGGAATTGTTTCTGTTTCTTTCTAAGCAATTGATTGCTCAAAGTAACTGAAATCTGCCTCAGCGTACTGTGCCATGGTTTTGGGACAGAAGACAATCGCAATCGTGGACTTCCTGGAGTCAGTGAAGCATGACCGGGCATGCGCTGTGTGCTACCATGCGTATTTGGGGAAATTTTTGTCGCCGAAAGAAAGGTGGTGCTTGCTGCAAACAGCATGGGACTGTGGCTGTGACTATGGAGGTCAAATCACCACTTCCGAGCAGAAGAAGCAAGATTTCAGCATAGCATGCCTTCATGAAATTGAAAAACTTTCGGCCCCCTTGTCAGATGACCGTCGTTGAGTTGACTTGTTGTCAGTTGTTAGCTGTCAGTTGGTTCTCATCAGTTGTCAGATGGGACAATTCTTTGAAATTAGTGCCTGTGTGTTTTGACACATATTGTAGATGCACCAAAGGGAAAACGAGGCCTCACCAGCTGCAGCTGCAGGATTTGTTTCGTTCAGCATTTAAATGATTTTTTATGCATTACAGCAAATTGGATTTGGTCAAGTTCTCTTTTCTTTGTGTCGTTGCTGGATTAGGCGTTTCCTGTGACTTCTTTCCGCACAAGGCATTCAGTGGTTGTCAACCTGTGAAAAAGGATGGCTTCCAAAGAGAGATCAGTTTTCTGAAATTTTCTCTGTTGGATGCATGCGGCAAAGAGTTTCCAACCGGTTTTGCAGGAGACATCCAGAAGCAGCCATTGCAGTGAGGCTTGTCTGGGCCCCAGTTGCAAGATGCCAGATGCACAATGTGGCTTTTCCACACGCACTGTTTGACATTTTTTGGCAATGTTTCCATTTTTTTGCCTTGCTTGCTGTTTAACAGGAATTGCACCCTGGCACTCTGGCTTTGCACATTGGCTTTGAAAATGTTTGAGGCTGGGCCCTGATGTTCTGCATTCACAGGAGTTGTGAGCTCAGATTCTTGATCCAGTCCATGCCTTCGTTGTGCTTGGCCGCAAATCACGTGTCTTTGCTCAACGGTCATGTCAACAACTGGCAACTGACACTCATTTTTCATGTCTCATTTGACCCACTTGCACCTGAAACGCAACATCGTGCAGTTGACTGTGTATTTCCACTATTGTGCAGTTGACTGAATTGTTTTGCAGATATTCTTCAAGCCGTTTGTGACAGAGGTCACCATGCCTTGCAGCTGTTTCCTTCCATATCCTTCCATTTGTTGGCAGGCCTGACATGTTTGATGCCTGTTTCTTTCGACTGCTCTGACTGACATCTTGATGCATTTGGCTGCTTCGGGTTTTTCATCAGACAATCCTGTCAGGCATGCACTTGGTCACTTCCCCCTTGTCAGTTGTCCGATGTGAGTTGTCAGATGTGAACTAGCAAGGAGCTCAGCAAGGATTGAGATTGCATTAGCTGTGGTTTGAGCTTTCTGTGGTCTTCAAATTTGTGCTTGACTTTGTCTCGGAAATGAGTTGTCTTTTAGCTCCATTGCTTCAAGTGCAAATTGTGTGTCATGCCTTGGTTTCTGTTCTGCAGGAGCATTTTGGTCATGGTCAAAATCACGACTTGGAGATGGAAACTGTCTTCAGTCCGGGGCCCAGTTTCCAGTTCCAGTGATGAATCCACCATAATGGGGAGATTGCTTCTTCAGAACTGCCAACTTTGACCCCTTTGATTTGTGTGGCTCAAGTTAAACTAAGTTGTCACGCTCCTTTCTTCTTGGATATGACGCTGCCTAAACAAGCAATTTTGATTCGGCAGCCATGGGTGGACCGAATTTTGGAACCCAATGAATGTTTTCGGAAGACATGGGAGATAAGATCGTTTGCCACGAAAAAACGTGGCAAATTTGCAGTCGCAGTCGTTGGAGAGAAATGTATTCTCGGTGAAGTTGAACTTACAGACTGCATTCAAGTTGCTGAACAAGTTGATGGCTGTTGGCGTCCGGTGTCAGATGGGGCTCCCTTCCTCTTTGATGCCCAGAATTCAGTAAAATGCGGCTTCGACATGGAAACGATGCCAGAGTACTTTGCAGACAAAAGCAAATTGTTTGCATGGGTGCTGCACAACGCTCGCCGGTATGACCAGCCTATCAAATGGTCAAAGAAAGATGGTGCTGTGGTTTTTGCCAATGTTGAGTCTGACAAGAGCAAGGGAAACAATCAGAAAGACAAGAAGACCGGCAAGAAGCACAAGAAAGATAAGGCCAAGTCGGTGAAAAAGAATGAGAAGCCATGAGATGTCAGATGTGTATTGTGGATGCCAGATGTGTAGCTGGATGCTGGATGCCAGATGTGTATAGTGGCGCTGTTTTTGTGTCAGATGCCTTGACAATCATTGCTGCACTGCTGGGTGTCAAAAGCTGGCAGGCTGACCTTCAGTTTGCAAAATCAAGCCACGTTCAAGTTCAGATGTCTTCTTGTGTTTGTTGCTTACTGTGATACTGGCCGAGGAAAAGGACTTGCTCTATGGCCTTCTTTGTTTACAAGGCATTCGGTGGTTGTCAACGTGTGAAATGTCTGTAGAGATGGTTTTCAAAGAGAGATCAACTTTCTGAAATTTTCTCTGTTGGATGCATGCGGCAAAGAGTTTCCAACTGGTTTTGCAGGAGACATCCAGAAGCAGCCATTGCA